CTTGAATCTAATCTCTAGATAAATACCTTTATCTACTGACTGAAACTACACCACAACCTAGCAGACTGACACATCTAATATTGGCAGTTTTTCCTTGGAAACAGCAATGCCAAAGAAACTGAGCCTCCATGGTTTCTCCAGTGACGCCATCTTAACCTTAGAGTCAGATCAAGTTAGGTCAATACTATGGCAAAGGATCATAGATTTGGAAGATCAAACAGAAATGGCTGTTTTCTTTCTTACACGATAATTGCAAATAACTAATTTTTAATGTCTAAACTAGCCTCATATAGCAGGGGACAAGATCATGCCAGAGTTGGTAAAGTCCCCAACGCTTAACAAATTCAATGCAGGATTTCTATGGACCTCTTTAAAAGTTTTTGCAAGATTCCGCAAAGCCTGCACATATTTTTATTATCACATTCCCTTCTCTATTGGTGCACAAATTGGTTTCACCTTCCTTGTACATGTAATTTGCCAACCTCATCACATAGTCACATTCCTTGTCAGAGTATCCAGCAACTTTTAGGATAGTCATCTGAACAGAGAAAAATGATTCCACACAACTCATTTCCCAAAAGCCCTTATACCAAGTCCTTTGCAAGAAAACTGCTGAGAACTGAAGAGTGATCACCTGCTCAAAAGAAGACCAGATGTTTGAGGAAGTATCAGAAAAAGAACCCCAAGAGCACACATATTCAGGAAATTGTGTGATCAGGAAGGAGAGTAATGATGGTTCTATCTGAGGCCCCAACAACTACATTTGAGGAAATGAAGGTGAAAATGGAAAGGTTTTTTCATATGATTTAAAAATTCTGAGATACATTTTCTTTGTTGGGGGAGGAAATGAAGCACCCCAGAAAAAGGAGCAGCTCAGAACGCAGAATCCCAGTTTCTAGAACAAGGGTGTCAAACTTGTGCTGTCACCGTGTCGTCATGTGACATATCACGACTTTTCCCTCCTTCACTAAACAGGGTATGGGCGTGGCCAGTACGTGATGCATCCAGTCTGTGGGCTGTGAGTTTGACAGCCCCGTTCTAGAACTACTTCTGGGAGAAGAATGTTGAGTTAGTGAGTTGAGTCATGGTTCTAGAGCAGGAGTATCAAACTGGCGGGCTGCGGGCCAGATGCGTCATGCGCAGGTCACACCCACCCCAGCTCCGTGAAGATGGAAAATGTCATGGAACGTGGCAATGTGACGCCGTGAGTTTGACACCTGTGTTGTAGAGCATTTGTTAACGAAATGCATGACTTCTTAGTCTAGGCCTCTGGCAGAAGGAAAGGAACTGTGGTTTTGAGAGTGGTGGGTTGAAGGACAGCAGTCTTTTGCCTCATCCATCAACCTGGAATCCAATTGCTCCTGAAAAACTGCATAGCATTCATCATCTTTTAACAACCCCACATTCCCTTGTAGGGTGGAGTCTGAACAACTGAATGGAGCTAGCAGAGTGTTTACTGGCCAGGTGCCCTTCCTGTCACCAATGCGGAGTTTTGTTCAGCAGATATATTCTCATTGTGTCCAGAGAGAAATATCTGCCTCTACCTTGGATTGAACTCACAGTCTCCTGATTGTGAGGCAAGAGCTCCACCTCTAGGCCACTAAAGGACAGCCTAGAGCCCGGGCAGGCGGGTGGGCCAAATAGCAGACCAAAACTTCATCCCAGCAAACTGGTTAGGTATCAGCTGCTCTTTGGAGCTACCAGATCTATAGAACCAGATTGAACCGGTAGGATCCCATCCCTGTTTACAAATTGTGATCACATAACCCCAGGGCAGTGCAACTGTCATAAATACACACCTGTTATCACATGATTTTGATCATGTGACCATAGGGATACTGCAATGGTTGTAAGTGTCAAAACTGGTCATAAGTCACTTTTTCTAGTGCCGTTGTAACCGTCACTAAACAAATGGTTGAAAGTCATGGACTTACGTGAATGACTGGCTATTCTAACCAAATAACTCTGGGAAGCTCATAGACAATGAACCCACTATCTGCTGTGCTGTTTGGAGAAAATGGGACCCAAGACCAACCCTTGATAAGAGAAGGTTGTGCAAAATTGGCTGTCCAATACTAACACAATGATTTCTCCAGCCATAAAACAACGGCAGTTTCAAATAGAATAAATGTGATGCCTTCAAAACTAGGCTTGAAGCAAAAAATTAAAGGCGTTGTAAAGGCTTCGTCTTGATAGAAACATCCATGAAATTTTGAAGGGGGGTAGACTGGCTTTACGCTGACCTTTAATGTTACTTTTAGTGTGCTTTTCTTTTCTTTTCTTTTTACGATGTTAATATTTCAACCATGTTTTCTGCTGTTGTGGCTTCATTGTTTTGCTTTTGGGGAGAAGGCCTGCACTGCCTTCATGGCTTTTGCAGCTGTCATGCTCATAAATAGATAATCATAATGAAAAAAAAGTGTATCATGAGACGGGGAGAAGAATGGAGGGGATGCACATCACTTCCCAATACTGAAAAGACACTGTTGCCTTTTGGGGAGGAAATGTGTTTAGATTCCCTGTAAATTTGGAACCTCTGCAACAATGGCAGCTGTGCCTCCATGAAGCCAACAGTGATCGTCTGGAGTCCATGAAGCACATGGACAGATTCCTCCCCCTCCCCAGTTTTATTGGAAATAGATCCAGATCCATGTAGAGATACTTCTTCTGCTACCATAAATAGGAGGAAAAGAAGAGGCAGGAACAATTTTCTCTCTCAGAATGAATACCCAAAGTTCAGGTAAGGTGGAAGCAGAGGTGGTATTCAGCAGGTTCTGACCAGTTCTGGAGAACTGGTAGTGGAACTTTTGAGTAGTTCGGAGAACCGGCAAATACCACCCCTGACTGGCCCCACCCCCATCTATTCTCTGCCTCCTGAGTCCCAGCTGATTGTCTGGGTCTTCTTTTGTTGCCCTGCACAGGAGAACAGAACTGAAAAGCAGGTTAGTGAGGTAAGGAGGGAATGGGATTTTGCAGTAACCTTCCCTCAGGAGTGGGGAGGGAATGGAGACTTTACGGTATCCTTCCCCTGCCACGCCCACCAAGCCACACCCAAAGAACCGGTATTAAAATGTTTTTAATCCCGCCGCTGGGTGGAATGGAATAATATGGTTAAGAGATTATCCCTCTCGTTTACAAGAACATTGTGATAGAACTGTCTACATTCCTGGTGTAACACAATCTGCCTAGCTTTGGGAGATTAATAGCAGTCTCTCAAATATGTGACTAAAATCTACAAAGTCAGATTTGAAAGGTCCACCCTCCCCCAATGAGTGGTTCTTGGAAAGGTTAGAGTTTGCTACAAGCACTGAAGATGAAGAAACCTATAAATTGGAAAGGGGAAGAGTATTTCTGTAAAACAGGAGCTGTTTAAAATGAGAGTGAAAGAGACAATTGATCCAAAACCCAAACACAATCTACTCAAGATACATTTCAGGATTTCAAACGTTCAGATGGGTCAGGATTTTTCATATCAGGCAGAAAAATAAAAACCACTTAAACACAATTCCATGGGTTATTATTTTGGGTTTCAGTATGAGGATACTTCGATAGCCAAAGAAAAGAAATAGGGGCGAGGGTCACTTTAATGTAGGATACAATAAGAAGAAATGGAAAGGAGGGATAGGCTCAAATTTCTGCTCCCAGTCACCTTCTAAAAAGCTTTTCCATTAAAAGAGAGAAAATGGTTTTTTGGCCATGTTTCTTCTCTGTCTCCACTGCACTCTCTTCCAGGCCTTGCTGAAACATCTGCAAAATATTGCCATAAGAAAGCATAGCGCAGCACACATTCTTTAATTAGTTCCATCACAAAAGTTTGCCGGAGGCTTCCCTTTGGGCATTGAGAATCCAACAGAAGGCACCCCCATTTTGTTCATCCACCATGTAGGGGGGATGAATAATGGGAGCCAAAGCTCATCTGAAAGACACTAGGTTGGGGGAGACTTTTCATACAATTTAAATTAAATAATAGCTAACTTTCATTTAATTTCTTGAAGGTACAAAAAAGAGGTCTTCCAAGTTCCTTTTGGCCTGTGGGGACAATTCTAGGGAGCAGTTTTTAAAGAAATTGTTTTCAAACTTACAGTAAAGAAAAAGAACCCAATGATGATAAATTTGAACAAAATTAAGACCATATGTCAAAGGAACATAAGAGTCAAACAATTAGGATGAAACTGTGTATAATTAATTTGAGGGACAGTCACGTGGAGCCGTTTCCTAGTTTGGACCCCCTTCATGCAACATGTCTCCAGCAACAGAATTTGCAGAGTGACTTTTGCCATGGAAAGGCAGGGCTCAGAATTAAAAAGATAAATATTTCCTAAATTAGAAGGCATCTTAAATATTTCTGAATCCCTCTCTTTTATAAGAACATTGTAATAGAACCAATGATTCTTTTGTAGTCCATTTCAGCCCTGTGCAGTTGACTTTCCAAACAAGCACAACTGAAAGCCATTTTCTATGGCAGTTTATATTTTCTTAGCCGTTCAAGTAAAATAGTTATTTTTCTATATAAAGTGAGAGAAAAACCCACTTCTTAGTTGCACTGATGATGTTAACTAGTTTGGGGTAATGAAAAGTCTGCAAGAAAGCAACGAAGCTCAGAGAGCACTCCTTTAAACCCAGACTTACAGATGTTCCTCTTTATCGACAGTTTCTTCTGTCAATGAAGTTCTAAAATGGGCTCTTCAGGCTATTCATCATGGCTAGAGCATAGCAATAGCTATAGCACTTAGACTTATATACTGCTTCACAGTGATTTACAGTCCTCTCTAGGTGACTTACAGAGTCAGCGTATTTCCCCCAACAATCTGGCTCCCCGTTTTACCGACCTTCGGAAGGATGAGTCAACCTTGAGCTGGTCAGGATCGAACTCTTGGCAGTGGGAATGTGGAGTTCATTACTGCATTCTGCACCACCATGGCTCATTCACAACATCCAGTATTCCCACCTGAACAGATGAGACTTACATTTTGAAATGGTCATAAGACGAAAAGACTTACCAAAGTAGACTGGCTTTCCACAAATGGGACAGTAGGAAAGCATTGTCCACCTTCCTTTAGGCACACTCTCCAATTAACGCTTCTTGAATAAACAGACTTTTTGTTCACATGGACAGGAAAAGCAGGGTTGGGTGAGCAGGGTGGTGCTACATTCCGTTTTTTCAGAGAGGATGTTGTGGTCGTTGGTAAATGTTGTGTAGTGGCAGTGTGGTATGGAAGGAAGGTATCAAGTATTTCTTATTTTAAAGCATGATTTTGTAATCTCTCTAGGTTCTGATCTGGCAATCTTGGGCCTTTCTCCCTCTGCTTATTTGTTAGTTATTTATTTTCTTTTATCCCTTTATTTTAAATGGTATGTTATTGTTTATTAGCACCCTACCTCCTGAAGGAAACATGTGGAGTCTGAAACAGTCAAAACCTTAAGATAACTTTTGTAAAGCAAAATAATTTAAAAAGTTAAAATATGACAATTAAAAAGCGAACCCTTGTGGAACCTTTCCCTATCTTTGGGGGATATGGAACCTGGGAGGGTGATTGCAGAGTCTCTTTCCAATGCATAATTGTCTTTTTTATGTATGGAGGGTTTCTAAGTTAGCATAAAACATACCAAACATTAAGGGAGACCACTTAAAGCCTTTCTTCCTTGCTGATTTTACTTTTTTTTTTTAGTTTACTTTATTGTCATTGCACCTCGTTCAACGAAATCATGCACATCATGACCATGACCATGAAAAGAAACACAAACACACATCCTTCACACTTCACACATTGAACCAGAAACCCCCGACACCTCACCAACACTGCACTATACAGCAGAATTCAAAAGAGCTACTGCCCTGGGATACCAGAGCAGCCTGACAACCTAGATTTCGTACCCTGTCCCCATGAAGCTACCCTTGTCTCGTTGCAGACCCTGAATTACACAGCCTCATGCTGCTGTTTTCCATGCTGCAAAACACAGAGTGAAAGGAGTTGGGGCAAAGCATAATGATGGCAATAATTCTTTTATGGTGCTACAGCAATGGCTGGATTCCTGCAAAGTTTGCTGCTGCGGAAAGATTCTTCATACATTGCAGTAGAAACAACCAGGTGTCTTCTAGCCTCTTAAAGGTCATTCAATCAAATATGGAATAAACTTTATGGACAGCCTATAAGTTATTTTTTTTTTATAACAGATTCACCTGGGGGTGGTGTCCGTAAATGTCATTATACACAATGCTTCATTTGGTAAAGAATATAATTGTCCTCCATGCAACAGAACTCTACACAGGTAGTTCTCAACTTATGACTACAGTTGGGACCAGAATTTCTGTTGCTAAGCAGGGTGGTTGTGAAGTGAGTTCAACCCAGTTTTACACCTTTTTGGGGGGTCACTTTTGTGAAACGAATCACTAAAGTTGTTAAGTGGCCATTAAATAAACAGCTTCCCACATTGATTTTCCTTGTTAAAAGCCAGCTGGGAAGATGGCAAATAGTAATTGTATGACCCCATCCAGGATGCTGCAACCATTTTAATTATAGGGCAATGGCTGAACTCCCAGATTTTGATCAGGTGACCATGGGGATGGTCATAAGTGCAAGGACCAGAGGTAAGTAACTTTCTGCAGTGCCATTGTAACTGTGATGACCCAGAGTGTAACACAAACATAACAAAATCCAAAACGTAAATAAATATCCTTTAATGCCTCCAACTTGGCCCCACTGTTCAATAATTCTCAGTTGGAGATAAAACGTACTCAAAAATAGTCTTCAAAAGAAAGCAATACAGTCTGAACTTAATGAGCAGATAGAGGTGAAATAAAAAACTAAAACAAACTACAATGAAGAAATTTCCACAACGGACCAGGATAAGTAATTACCCAATTCAAGGAGATAACAAGGCACAGTCTGTTGGAAGGACGCAACCAAGATAACTTCAGCCCAAAATAAAACACGCTTTGCTTCTGGCAATGCTGTGTTGTAATTGTCTCTCTTATATACTATTCCCCCCAGCTGCAGCCAATGAGGAGGATCATGGCTGCTTCCTTTCCTGTAAACCACGTTGTTCCCTTCTCTGTTCCTCCCTGCATGCCCTAGGATGAAGAGGTGATGGGCCTGGTTGTTCCTCTGACTGCCCAGCCGGCCTCTGCCCTTTCCCAGCCTCCTCCACAACCTCCAGAGCCACACTTCCACTCCCTGTCAGCTGTTCCTCCTCTCCCTCAGAGTCTGACTCTAACAAGGGCATGACAGTAACTTCAAATGGTTGCTAAACAAATGATTGTACTTCAAGGACTATCTGCAAGTAGCTATACAGGTAAGTCCTCGATGTATGCCCACAAGTGAGCCCAAGTGAACTTCCATTGCTAAGCAAGACAGTTGTTAAGTGAGTTTTGCCCCATTGTACAAGCTTTCTTGCCACGGTGTTGAGTGAATCTTGCTTTCCTGTTGACTTTGCTTGTCAGAAAGCCACAAAAGGAAATCACCTTACCCCAGGATGCTGCAAGGATTGCCAATATAAGCCAGTTGCCAAGCATCTGAATCTTGATCGTGTGACCATGGGGATGCTCCAACAGTCATAAGTGTGAAAAATGGTTCTGAGTCATTATTTTCCATACTGTTGTAACTTCGAACAGCCACTAAACAAAAGGTTGCAATCAGTGGTGGGATTCAAATTTTTTACTACCGGTTCTGTGGGCATGGTTTGGTAGGCATGGCAGGGGAAGGATACTGTAAAATCTCCAGTCAGAGGTGGTATTTGCCGTTTCTTCGAACTACTCAAAATTTCTGCTACAGATTCTCCAGAACTGGTCAGAACCTGCTGAATACCACCTCTGGTTGCAATACTGTCTATATTCCTCTTGATCAGTAGTCAGTTGTAGCCACTTTACTTGTAAGTGGGAACCAGACAAAGGGTAAAACTGACCAATGGGATATTGCTACCCTGCAAGGAGCCAATAAGACTCCCAAATGTAGTCCTGTGATTTGCATATGCTGCAATGAGAGCAAAGCAGCTGGCTCCAAAGCTAATGAACCGTAGTTAGTTAATGACAGTCTGTTTGCTCTCTGAGAATATAGCTGAAGTCAAACCGAACTTGCCACTTAACTGATTTTTTTTCTTCTTCCCTTGGTCTTGGCCAAACTTTTTTTTCCAGATATAAAAGTCTGCTCTAAAAAAGCCAAAGGAGATTGGGCAACAGAGATCAGTGTGATGGGACAGGGCAGCAAAACTATCAAGTGCAGGAAATCAGAAGTCAAGGCAGTTCAAATGAATAGAGGTTTATTGCATGCTGTCACTCTGTACAAGAATCTGAACTACTAATGCTCAAAGCAAATTGGCAGTAGAGAAGAGTCAATGGAATTCAAACTGGGCTGGACTTAGAACTCTTGTGGACATGAAGGAATTTGAGACTGATGGCATGCTTCACCCCTCCCTCAGGCTCAGCCTGGTCATTTCTTACAAAAACTACAAACCTAAGGGCTTGATTAACCCTTGCTCTCCTGCCAGCATGATTTTCATGATGTTAATATGAGTATTTACTCCTGTTTCCTCCATTAAGAAAAAGTTGTCTTGAAGAGGATAACAGCACATTTGAAAGGGAAAGGAAACATTTCATTCTGGTTGAAGAGGAAGTTAAATGGGCAAAGACCCCTGAGATGATTCAGCTTCTCCTCTCCCATAGTCTTTGAAGGGTTGATCACAGATTAATTGGTCCTTTTTATTCTGTTATATACATTGCTGTATAATATCCTATTTTGTCATATTTAGCCAAAACTCTTGTTTCACTTGGGCCAGTTGATGGAGTAATATGGCCCCGATTTCATTCAATTGTTTATAATCTAAAAAAAAATTGCATTCTGCTTTGTTTTTTTCTTTTTGATTCTTTCTCATTTCTTATCTGGGGGTATACTCAGAAATATCTTTCTGTTGATATCCTCACTAATCTCTTACTTTGGTTTTTGATTGATAGAAGTGGGTCTTCCAAATTATTCCATGCTTTTATGTTACCTCTATATTAAGCACTTGCCCACCCACTTTATCAGATATCAAACAGATTGATGTGAAATTGCTGGGCCATAGGAACATTTCACACTTTATGTAAAGGCAATTTTTGATTTTTCACTGAGTATACAGTTTCTTTAAAAATCATCACTCAATTATAGCTTTTTTGAAGGATACCTGGTGTTTTTCAAAGACTTTTTTTTCATGCAAACTAACAGTCTCTCTAATTCTAGCAGGGTGCTGTAATGCCCCCTCCCCCAATTAATAATAATCCTACTGGGTTCGTGGACAACAAATCCTACTTTCTTTCTTCTAGAACTGACCATCTTAGCACCTTTGAAAGGTCACAACCAAAAAGAGAAATTAAGGGATGATGCCTGCTAGATCTAGTCCAGCATTCTGTGATACAATGTAGGAATAGGCAATCCCCTTGAAGGACAGGAGGAAGAGTCAATGGTTAGATGAGCAACCATTGAGGAAACATCTCAGACAAGTCCCTCCCTAGTTCACATGAAAATAAGAGGGAGGGGGAAAGTCCATTTATACTTGCAAGATTCTGTTACTACAATTGTTTCAATAAAACTACATAGTTGTCGGGTCCAGTTCAAGAACACCATAAAACAATCCAGCCAAAGTTCAGTTCTTTATTTTCTCACATAGACAGAATCTTGCCAGACTAAACCCGTACTTCTCCAAAGCTAATGGATATACTCTGGGAGATTCTAGGGAGCGGCCATCTTAAATATCTTCCTCTTTCTCTGATCCAGCTCTGATTGTTTCGTCTCTTGTTTTGCCTCCTTCCTTGGAATATGCTGTCTCCTTCCTGGAAAACTGCTATTTCATTGTAGCCCATTATCCCAATCTTGACCTGGATAGCATCGGTTTCTTAGGCTGGTCTGCCTTGTAGAGCTGAAACACAGCATCCAACCTTTGCTACTCACATTCCCGGGAACGGTGTCTCCCAGATACACCCTGCTTTGACACTGCATGTAATCTATGGCTATTTTGCTCTCTCTACTCTCTTATAACGTTGGGTTCTTGCTTTTCCTTTCCTTTCTTTTTTCCGATAAAAAATATTCCA